TATCACATGCATTTTGCTCTATCAGGTCAACTTTTTGAGATACAGCCACAGTGTTACGGATTATGTACGTCTACGTTATTATGAATTCTGCTTATCAAATTTGATGGAGTAAATAAAAACTGAATGACTTTGGATACGTTGACTTTTATTTCTTGAGGAAAACGGAAAAAACGTCAATGGTTTCTAAGCTGATGATCCGCAAAAATTTGTTTTTTACGCAAAATTGATTTAAAAAAAATATTTCTGTAGCAAAAATCCTGACCTGATTGAGCAAAACCAAGGACATTTTCGGACTCGGAGCATCAAAATTAGTCAGTTCAGCTGAAATAAACCCTGGTCTATTTTCAAAAAATGAAAATGTTACCCAGTGTAATGATCCATTTATAATGAACATATACAGTCCTTTAGTTATATAGTATGCACATATTCAGGAAGCATAAATCTGAAATGATCGGTACCGACTCTGGGCACCAACAGGAGTCAGAGTCAAGAGTTGGTCACGGATGTACTTTTATGCGAGGCCATGACGTGACTTGTACAAAACTGCTTTAGAGCCATAGGAAGCCAGTGCAGACCCCTGAGCGCAACATCATCAACCTTTGCATCTAGAACCTGCTTTTCCATACTTCATATGCTTTGAAATGTTGAATTCTGTGTACCTATAACTTTAAAACAAATAAAATAGTAATTTGTTATTTTTGTCACTCCTATACAGTTATTTTTTGGTACTTTTTATGTAGAATATAGCTCATGGACATCCACTCCCATTTGATTGTTTCAGAGCTGTTTTTTCTGAATGTTTTTCTAAATTTTACAAGTTTGTACAAGTACTCTTAATACAACAATTTGCCTTTTGACAATATTCACTTGAATTCCCCCCCATATGAACGCATCATGCTCACCATTAGCTTTGTACAGTTTTACAACCATTTATTTATTTATTTATTTGAATTTAGGAGAGCACATATTAATCAATGTGTATGCAAACAGCGTCCATATATATTAATGGAATTAGCACAATAGCTAGCTTGCATCTATTGTCCTAAGGCCGGTAAGAAAAACACACACAGTTAGGTTAAAGTTCAAACAATTCATTCATTTCCCTGCGTCCTGTGGAGAAACAAGGAGGCAGTAGATGGATTTGTAGACTTGATTATTCAATAAATTAACATACATCGTCAAAATATACAAACTGTTTGAGCTGAAAGTGGCAGAGGAGAATCTGTTTGGAGGTAAGATGGTAATGGTTGATTGATGACACGCTGTAGGCTCGCACCTCCGAGTGCTGGGGCGAATAATCCACCACTCTGTCTTTGGCCGCTCACATCCATGAAAGAGCCGAGCTATGAAGTGCTGAGTGTTCATCGTATCTGCTGACTGGCCAAACTCCTCCTGCTCTTAAACAAAGTGCTTAACAAGAACGGCCCTCGCATTCACGCAGCAAGTCACAGGCGGCGAGAGCTCCATTTATCCCAGTCCAAGTGGGATAAATGGCGGCACGGTGGCTGAGTGGATAGCACTCTCGCCTCTCAGCAAGAAGGTCTTGGGTTCGAATCCCGGCCGGACCAGGGCCTTTCTGAGTGGAGTTTGCATGTTCTCCCCGTGTCTGCGTAGGTTTCCTCCGGGTACTCCGGTTTCCCCTACCACTAAAAATATGCACAATAGTTCTGGCATGCGCCTCCTGTTCGGCGACCCCGCTCCCGTCTCTGTGTGGAGTGAGAGACAAATGCCCAAAAAATAACAATTGTAAACCGCTTTGTGACTCTGGTCTGTGAAAGGCGGTATATAAATAAAGCTTACTTACTTACTACCAAGTCAAGTTGTCACAATATGGAGACAGAGACAGAGGCCACGTCCACACGGAGCTGATGTCAAGTGTTTTAGCAAAAAGTATTTAGTCTGACTATCTCGGCCGTCAACCACAGTGTCTAGATAAGCGGGTGTGTTTTAAGATGGAGAGATTCTTTTTTTTTTGGCTCACAGTGGGGAAATTTCAGTGTTGCATCACCAGTTAGAGCAGTAGGAATGAGGAGCACATAGCAGAAAAGTGAGCAATAACTAGTGAGCAATAACTAAAATAAAATCTATTGCTTTAGCAGAGTAAAGATATGAAAGTATAAAATCTCCAGCTTTAGCATAATAGAACATCTAACTTTAGTATAATAAAGTATAATGTCTCTAATGTAGACACTGAAATGCAATATTTTCAAATTATGTATTGTGTAAATCTTTGTCTGATTTGATGTTTTCCTATGTTGTGTTTTCAGATGTAATTTGGTTTCAAACTTTTACTATTTAGTATTGGTTATTCAGGTGTTTTTAGATAATTGGGTGTTGTTTAGGTGTGAGTAATATCTATTTTTGTAATCCTTTTTGAGTCAGACTTGGTTACACATTATCTTTTAAAAGGTAATTAAAACCTAATTGAAATTATTTGTAGTTGGGTAAATCCTCCAGTCACAAGCCAAGTGTGTGGTTCAAACTCCCAAACATTACATTCAACAGATAATTACAATTTCAAAAGCATATTGTCAGTCAAATCACAAAACAATGGAAGCCTTCGAGCAGGTTTGACTACTTTTCTCTGTGGAGATTTGAGTGACGCAATTTTATTTTTTGTCTCATTATAATGCATAATTTGATGTGAAGTCAACACAGTGCTTTGAGAGTGCCTAGTGTTCTTTCTTACTCACTCTTTGATTCAATTCCTTGCCAAAAAGATCATGTTTTTGTTAGTTTGCATTTTTAGTTTCTGGGACAAGGAACAAATTATTACATTTTGGAGGCGACCTGGAATATCGTCTGGATCAATTAACTTTTTAAAGCAGGCTTGTCCAAGCTACTGTATGGCCCACTGTCATTTTATTCATCCCTCTCTCGTCACCGTTGAGGTGCTTTCACAGTGTCATCCAGCCAACTTCAGCCAATAGACTCATGCTATACCTCATCATAAAGCTCAGAACCTTTGGATTTGGTCCCTGCTCTATGAGTGATTTTCGAGTTTAATTCAAATCTGTGATGCAGGAACCTGAGATGATGTGTACGATGGTGTGGTAAGACCAGGCTAACACTGGCCTAATCAGATCAGCTTTAACCACAGTTGCTTAAAAAGTGTTAATAGATCCATGTGTGTCAAATGCTTATCTTCATACTGATGGTAAAGCTTATAGTAAAGCATTCTAGGAGCAGATGAGCTAATATCAAAGCTAACACCCTTACAAAAGTTACATAGGTTTGGTCCACTGGACGTATAGGACCAGTCGCATATGCGTAAAGCTAACCCAGTGCATGTTCTGTATATGGAGATCTATAGACTACATGCCTTTCAGAGTGTTTTACTGTTTCCATCAAACGCACTGCTACAATTTCCCCTTTCATATAATGCTGCAGGCTTTGTAGTTGGTTCCCATTTATTTCTACTTACTCTTGACATTTTGTTCATTAATTCAAAGCGTGGCCCTCTTTCTCGGCTCTCCGACACAAATGGCTCACTTGTTCACATTAGCTGTGATATGTTAGTTCTTGTGTTTGCCCTCATCCTGTCTCCTCTTTTTTTTACATGGAGTTCATTAAAGCCCCGCAGTTCTCTTCTTGCACTTCCCTGATCTATAGCTCTGCGCTACAATAAGCTACAAACTATTAGGGGTTTCTCATTAATAGTGGAGAGATACAGTATTAGATTCAGAATAACATGTCATATAACTATATGCATATTGGGCAATTCATAATCACTCTACGACAACGCCACAGAAAGTGCTGAACACTTACTTTATAACATTCTGTTTCACCTGGGACTAAATATGACCTGCATTCCAACACTGTGACAAAAACATTATGAGCAATGTTTTTAATTCTAATGCATACTACTTTATACAGCGCTGTTCGTGACACCCAAAGACGCTTCACATGGAATTTTTCTTTCACTCCAAACACAGTAAATCACTGTTGTAGCCCGGTGTTTCCCACTCAGCGGTACACATCCCCCTAGGGGTATGCAAGGGTATTACAGGTGGTCCTTGAAATGATTTTCAAAACGTGCAAACATTATGTACAGACATGTTATCAATAATTGTAAATCATATAATTCTTAACTTCAACCAAGAACATAATCATAATTTGCAATTATGAGCCTTTTTTTTCTTTTGGTCCAATTTTGGTAAAGTAAAAAATATATATAAATATATAAAATGTTAGTTATAAATGGTCAAGGTCAGGTTTATTTATATAGCACATTATAAAAAACAGATAAGACTGTCACAATGTGCTTACCAGACATTGCAAAATACAACACACAAATAAGATGAAGCATAAAAATAAAATGCAGGACACTATCATAAATGTTTCAATATTGCTTGTGTTAAAAAGCTAAAGCAAAGAGTGTGTCTTTAGTTGTGATTTAAAGCTCTCTACAGACGGGGCAGCTCTGATACAGTAAGGGAGAGTGTTCCAGAGTTTGGGCCCTGCCACAGCAAAGGCTCGGTCTCCTCTGGTCTTTAGTCTAGACCTGGGACAGTGCAGAAGAAGCTGGTCAGAGGACCTCAGTGCTCTTCCCGGAAAAAGCAAAAAGGACTTTCTACAGAAAGTCATTTATAACTTAAAAACAGTGGTTACATGTCGATGCTGGCGAGGGGCTACACGGCGTCAAAAATCTTCAATTGTTACTTAACTTGCAACTATAGTCTGTTTCAATGCATTTTCATACGAGATGACTGACTCGTTCACATGTTTGTTGTTCTCGTGCATGAATGAACCACCTTCCCTTGCGCCTTTACTTTGATCCATTTACTCCAAACACTCTGCCAGACCCAGCTCCCACGTTACAGCCCGGACCACTGTGTCGCGTCTGTCCATAGTTGCACTCTTTGTTAGTCAGTTCGAGTAGGCGCCCTGTTAAATGTGTTCAGATGTGTAGTAATACTTTGTGCTCTGACTCAGCTCGGTGCCATGTACCGCGAGCTCGCCTGACACGGCCATCTGCCCTGTGTTTTTCTGTTCCACAGGATCCCAGGGAGACTCAACGACAGGCGGACCCCCCTCGGAGAACTCAACTGGATCTTCACGGCCATCACTGACACCATCGCCTGGAACGTCCTGCCCAGAGGTACAGCGGTGACCAGCTCCTTATTATATACAAGCATTCAATTCCATTTCAATTCAATGTGTTCTTGTATGGCTCTGAATCACAACAGTAGTTAAGCCTAGTGTATACTTGCGCGGCGCGGCTTACGTTAGCGGTTGCGGTGGACCTACGTAAGCACAATTGATGTTTTACTGGCGCGTTCCCCTTACGGAGTTTTGAGGAAAATTTTGTAATCCCACAACAAACCACATGAGGGCGATCACACAGGAGCGGTCCCATTTACGCTGCTACTTTGTCCTCTTCAGAACAACAATAGCAAACAAAGCTGTTTGAGCTCATTACACGTGTTTCTACTGTAGGTTTATGTGATAGTTTTATGGATTCATTATTTTAAAAGTCATTTCAACTGTGATGCTGTGAATAAAGACACAGTTCTTGTTGGACACATAATTATTATTAAATAGTTTTTTATGCAAAACAATAATAGTGGTAAATAGCTGAGACAAACATGAACGATTTACGAGTGCAGGAGGAAAGCAACAAACGCAGCTACGATTCAAACAAAGACAGGAACAGTGCAAAACAAACGACTGCACAGTTTATAAGTTATATATATGTTAGATAGTCCACAGTCTCCTGTATATCAGTCTCTGAGCCCAAACTGCTTTTCCTTCGAAGTACAAAGCTCTCTGTTCCATAGTGCCTCGTCCATGTCCCTGCTGCAGCCGCTTCATGCTTCCTTCCAATACACACACACGGACCAATCACAGCGGAGATTCCTTGCGGCGACCCTAGAACATTTTGATGCTGCGCGGCAGGTAACATAAGGGCCTTGTGGTGACCAACGCGTTGCGCAAGTGACGTCACGCGTCCACTATGCATACTAGACTAAGTGAATCTATTCTAAAAGTTGTGCTGTGGAACGTCCCAGGAGAAGCATCAAACCCTCTATAGACACAGTGCACCTTTTGAGATTAAAAAGCACGTTTTATGTACTATACCACAGCAGACAAAACCTCAAAACAGAAGTGAATTGTCAGCGTTAGTAAAGCTCATAGCCCCTTTCCCCAGAGCTCTCGAACGGGGGCTAAAGTTGATGTAAAATGGCAGAAGTGCAGTAGGTGCAGGCTGCTCTCTCTCAAATTGAGATTAATTGTGTTTGGAAAGCGTGGCTGCTGTAATTGGGGGGATATAATTTTAAACATAATATTTCAACATAAAAGCGAGACTGGCACAGAGTCATACCCCCAGGATCCACTCGCCTCGGTGACAACACAAATAGCTTTTTTTCTGTCTTGACACACGATGTAGTTTGCATGCGAGTCACAATCGGGTGCTTATTATTGGTCACCTATCTCCTCGCACGCACACACACACACTAAGACTTACCATACTCCCTGGAGGTGCTCTGTAGCCTAGATAGAATAGCAATGTGACAACGCTGAAGCCTGCCAAAGCTCTTTTTAAACCTCTTGGGTCGAGCTGTTTAATGAAGCGGCCCACATCTGAGAAAATCCCCATAATGAAGGAACAACACTGCAAATAGACACGAAGCAAGGCACACAGACGCTTAGTAATTCTTAAAAACACTGTCTGGGGCCCCGTAGTTGTCGGGAAACTGTTGGGGGGGAAATATAGTCAACACAAGTTTGCGTGCTAGGCAAAAGCAACAAAGGCTCGTGGGAAATCCGTGGCCCCGTTTTATTAGGTTGCTGAAATAATTATGACTCTGTGGGTGTGACAGTGACCCAATGCTTTCATCTGACTGTCCTCTATATTCAGGTCAACACTCAAATTCCCATCTGTTGTCAACCATGACCACTTGAGCCAATTAAAGTTGTTATTTAACTCAATAAGTTCATTTGATTTCACTTTGAATACTTTGAATGTTATTGCTGTGAAAACCTGTATTGTTTTTTTAGATATAGATATACTGTATACTTTATTGATCCCAAAGGAGATTGAAGGTTTTGGCGTTTAAAATCAAACAGACCTTTCCATTCAATTCCATTCTCCTCCGCTTTATCCGTTGCCGGGTCGTGGGGGCAGCAGTCTAAGCAGAGATGCCCAGACTTTCCCTATCCACACATACCTCGTCCAGCTCCTCGGGGGAAATCCAGAGGGATTCAAAATCAAACTAAGATCTTACAAAGCCAGTGCAAAGCCAGGTGGTGATCAGAAGTGAGCTAAAACGGTCATTGATTAGACTTGTATAATAAAATGTACCTATTTGCATGGTCGCAGCCCTACTGTAAAACATATATAGCCTTGTTAGCATTAACCACAGGTAGCCATTATCTCATTTACCCACTACTTTAAACACTGGACATGACCGTTAACCACAATCATCAAAATGCTTAAATCTTCTATTGTTCATTTGGTTTCACTTTGAATACTTTGAATGTTATTGCTGTGCCACATTTTGATCCTTAGCTTTTGTGTTTTTTTTTTTTTTCAGATTTGTTTCAGAAACTCTTCAGACAGGACCTGCTCGTGGCCAGTTTGTTTCGAAACTTCCTCTTAGCCGAGAGGATAATGCGCTCGTACAACTGCACTCCAGTGAGCAGTCCCCGGCTGCCTCCCACATATATGCACGCCATGTGGTAAGGTCCATCTTCCAAATCCAAAAACAAGCAAATTTTTTTTTATAGCACGTTTCATTAAAGGCACACCGTGTAACTCTTGGCCACTAGGGGCGCTAGACCTGCAACTTTCACGTTTAGCGCCCCTAGTGGCCACAAGCAACTCAGCACTGTCGCAAAAGTCAAACAGTCAGCCGGTGTCTTTTGAGTGTGTATTCAGACAGCATGCACTGGTGTGTGTGTTCAAACTGTAGAGACATGCCTACAGATATTGAGAGACTCTGCTGTGGTCAGCCTCCAGACCGCTGCATTAGTAATCTACCACACATGGACTTCTATATCCTGGATGAGGGAGTTCTGCGTCTAGCTCGTGCTGCGTGGAATGACATCGTTGCGGTCGATGACATCCAGGAACCAGGTGAACAGCAGCGCTCATACAGACATGCAGCTTACAGCACGATCCCTTTCGCGTTTCCTCTTTTTAGCCTCCTCCAAAGGTTTAAAATTTTTCCTTGCCTCAGCCATGACCAGGAGTCGAGCAGGTGAAAAATGAGTAGCAAAAGCCTTAGCTCCATGAGTATATCAGCGCCTGTAGCCATAAAGCAAGTCTTTCTTCCAAGTCACGTGACCTGGTGGCAGACGGTCCGTCTGCTCGAAAGTTACATGGGCGGTATTTCAAGAGGGCAGCCCCGCTCGGAGCATTGCAAGTGTCAAGCGCTGTATATTGGCCCAAGTATTCATATAAAATAACTCATATGTGTCAACTCTTTAGGTCACAAAGTCCGCGGTGTGCCTTTAACAACAGAGGTTTAGTCAGTTTTGAAGTATGTTGTGATGGGCCAGAAGGTGTCTACTCTGGGCACATGTTTTTATTTGGTGTAAATTGTCTAGAAAAAGTTGGTCTGTCAGTCCATGGCCGTTTGGTTGAATATTTTGGTTCAATATGATGCCATCGGCCATTTAATTGACTCCTTGATTATTCATTATATTACAGTAAAAATGCATTGTTTTTTTTTGAGGTTTTGCATTCTAAGACACACAGCATCATTCATTGACTCCAGCTGATTGAAACGATGTAACGAATATGCCCCTTCGACCACCACCACTAATTCGCTCACTCACCAGACTCATACTAGGTCATCTGGGTGAAGCGTCTTGCCTATGGGCACAGTGACAGTTTGGTACTTTACAGCCGCAGCCGCCCCATTGTAGCACCTGGTGTTCCAAGAGGTCACCCATCACACTACTAGCCAGCCCTGCTTAGCTTCTGAGGTCTGACAGGAATTGGCTTTCTGCGAGAGAAACTTGAAGATTTGCAAAAGTTTCACATTTTGAAATATATCCTGTGTTAGATGCTTCAGCTATTTTGCATAAAGCTGAAATGTATTTTTAGGACTCTTGCCGTGTACCATTTTGAGGCTAATCAATCGCCGCATCTGTCCTTAGTAGACCAAGCATTCTTTGATCAACTACAGACTTGAAAAAACACACACTTTACACTGACACGGTTCACACATACAAACACACACTCATACTTTACTCAGTTTTGTCCTAAAGCCATGCAGAGCTGTGGCTGTGCACTTTTTTACATACCCTCCATATAAATCCACTTCGTGATTTGTTTTCAGCTGTTGTTGTGGCGACAGTAGAGCCAGTGGTGGCCTTGTTTTTCTTGCTGCCTCACGTCTAGCACAAATTTAGCCGCGTCGTCCCCTGCTGCAGCTTTCATCTGGCCGCTGTGGGCTGGAGACAGGTGGAAGACGTGTTGCGCCGTGGATGAAGATGACTTTTTACCTCCCACCGGTTTTCTCCGTCTACCTTTTTTGAGTGAAGGCAAACCGCAATGAGATTCCCTCTGTGGGGAATGTTAAAAGACTTCTTGACAATGTCGGACAGCGCTATGTGTGATGAACATGGCAGATTTGGGTTAGAACTGAAGGCAACAAACCAATGGGAAAGTAAAGTTGAGAGGCCTGTATTTCTTTTATTCATTTTATTGCCCCAAACTGAGTCATATGCAGTGTACAGCGGGGATATAAACGCTTATAGCATGAAGGGATCAATCAAAAATGCAGCTAAATCCTGCTATCTTTGGACATCCTTTCGTAAGGCCTCCACAAGGTCGTCAACTTATACAAGCAGGATTTTGATGTAACCTTTTTTTTTTTTGGCTCAGATAGTTTGATGTAGTATTACTGTTAAATAAGAAAATGAGGCAATGAGTGTAATGTAGCAGATCCATCGTTCCAAACCATTTTTTTCCTAAAGGAGACAAAATAAACGTTATTGGTCTTGTATACATTGTATAAAAGTTTCCTTACAGAAAACTTATCAATTCACCCAAAGGTAATTTATCTGAATCGTGTAGATCTGCTTTCAATCATAAAACAAAAGTAAAAAACCCTTGGATAAGTTCTGAAATGCAGTAAAAAGCAGGGAAAGTTCGAAGTCCCCCTGTATTCCTGTTGAAGAATCTGCTCGTCACTGTGACTGCTGCCAGTGCTTTTAGAAATTCAACAATCTTGATGCCAAAATTAGGATTTTTGAAACATGCAAATAAAATGAGTGCTTGTTGAGGGGTTGAGCGTTGGTCATTTAAACACAACGTTGACCTTTATTTTTTTTTGCACTTGAGTTTGCAGGTCTAACAAGTCCAAATGGCGCACTTGCTACTGTAATCATGTACAAAGCAGGTGGTGATCAGATGTGAGCTAAAACAGTCATTGATTAGATTTATATAATAAATTGTACCTATTTGCATCATTGCAGCCCTACTGTAAAACATATATAGCCTTTTTAGCATTAACCATGATAATCATTTACTAATCTCATTTACCTACTCAATGGACTTTAAAACGGTGGACATACACAATTATCAACTTGTTTAAATTGTCTATTGTGCAGAATAAGAATGCTATGATTTCTCTTTAGCTCCAAAAACACATCTCCCACCTCCATCTATTGTTTCTGTTCTTCTATAAATGCCTGCTCGTTCTCTCCCACTCATTATCTGCTTCGTGTTAGAAAAAAAGCAAACTCTCTCCTGCCTGGAGGAGCAGCCTGTTGTGTAACACGCTTCGCTTATTGTAAAGAATCTCTCTTCGCTCCTTAAGAAAACAGTCGTCCTTCTTTGTCACTCGCATCAGCCCATTATTTTACATTAAGCTTAAATTGCCCGGTTTATTGCCAAAACCGGGGGAAGTGGGTTTTTTTCAATGCGCCGCTAAGTAATAACTCGGGGAGAAATAGAAGCAGATTAGCAAACTTTTGGCAAGGATTTTTTTGGGGAATTTGCTTTAATTGACGGGGTGTATTTTTAGGTATTTTGTCTGTTTCTTTCTCTGAATGTTTTTTTTCCTCTTTAGTTTGGTATGTATATACACAGGTGAGGTCAAATTAACATTGGAACAATTTGTCGGCTTTTCATTTTGGAAATGGGATAACTCTGCCTTTGTACGATTATTTTGTAATCGATTAATCTATCGATTATTTTTACGATTAATCGAGTAATCGCTTGGCTGTGAATTGTGTAGAAAAAATGTATTTTTTCATCATAAAAAGCTAAAGTGGCAACACTCGAGGACGTATTGATGGCGTAAACTTAAAGTAAATGTTTGTAACAGGCTCTTTGTGCTAATTCTGCTATCTGATTGGATGAGACAGACAGATATTCATGAAATTATAAAAACAAAGTCGGTTTTAATCAAAAATACTAACTTCATGTCATTTTTGCTCTGTTTGAGTCCGTGTGAACCAGAAAACGATTAATCGATTACTAAAATAGTTGTCGACTATTTCAATAATCGATTAGTCGTCGATTAATCGATTAGTTGTTTCAGCCCTATTCGATAGCATTGCAATATTTGGTGGACAATTCAGGTAGTGTAGCATGAGTGGTCCAAGTGGCAGAAGAACGAATACAAAGGCCCAAAACTTGTAACAAAAAGGTGAACATTTATTTACAGTGCTCTCAAAATGTACGTGGTTTTTCTCCAAAGACAACATGGAGAGTGAATCTCTTTTCCCTCTCCAGAACAGACAGCGCACCTGGTATTTAGACATGGCCTAAATTGATTGGCTCCTCCCACTCAGTTGGAATATGCTTTAATACACACCAATATGTATCTGTTGCGGGAGCAAGTGTGGCCGCTTTGACACAGCTCAGCAAACGCGCAGCCGTAACGTGGTCATGCACCGCAGACCATAGACGCGCAATCAGGACCATACCCAGCTTGTTGCACGTGTGGGTCTTGTCAAATCAAACCACAACAGTCGCGTTTTGTTTATTTTGCTTACTTAAAAAAGAGCCCTGTGAGTCATTATTTGACTTTTTTGTGGATTTTTAAATAAATATTTTATTTCCATACAGTTAGTGCCACTTTACTGCCTTTTTTTGACTTGTTGTATTGAGAAACATGTGTTAGTCTCACATTATTTTTGGTTGTTTTATTAAATTTCTTGTGTGGAAGTTGTACATTTTTTGAATTATTCTACTGAAGGATTATAACAATACATTCCATTCCTATTGAAAGTCACAAGTGTCAGCTCTCAAATTCTTTTGAAATGATGTTTCTATCTGCTACAGAGGCCGAGAGATTGATCATTTAGTAGACGTTGAATTTCAGGAAAACTTCAGGTTTTGGAGGTGGTTCTACAGTCGGCCATAGGTTTTACAGGTCTGTTTTACCAGCTGTGTCAGGCCTTAATGGGTTAAACAAATTAATAAACAGGTTTTAGGCTTACAATAGTGTTTGGGGTTTTTAATTAAGTTAAATGCTGCAAAATAGAATGTATGCATGTGAATGAGTGAGTATATGGCACTGACAAACTTACACAAACAAGGCCCGGGATATGAGGGTGTGTTTGACAGAACCTGTGTGTGTGGAACCAAGGGTGTACGCTCAGGGACAAGTTGAGTTGTGAGACTCACTTTGTCACAATTGCGATTCAATTTTGTGATATATTGTGATTTATGTCCCTATATTATTCAAAAGCATTACAACAATTGAGGAGAATAAGAC